ATCCAAAAAGATCTTGACGGACTTGAACAATGGGCCCTATCCAACAAAATGAAATTTAATGTGGAGAAAAGCAAGGTTTTACACCTGGGCAGGAAAACCCAAAGGTAGAAGTACAAATTAGGTGAAACCTGGCTCAAAAAACAATAACTGAGAGAGGGACCATGGAATCCTAGTGGATGATCACTTAAATATGAGCCAGCAGTATGTGGCAGCAGCCAAAAAGCTAATACAATCCTTGGTTGTTTAAACAGAGGCATAGAATCAAAATCACGTGAAGAATTAGTACCACTTTAGTAAGCTTAGTAAGACCACACCTGGAATCCTGCATCCAGTTTTGGTCACCATACTACAAAAAAGATGTTGAGACTTTGGAAAAAGTACAAAGAAGAGCGACTAAGCAACTAAGATGATTAAGGGCCTGGAAAAAAAAAACATATGGAGAATGGTTACAGGACTTGGGTATGGCCAATCTAGAAAAGGAAGGACTAGAGTTGACATGATAACAGTATTCCAGTATTTGAGGGGCTGTCACAAAGAAAAGGGGGTCAACTTATTTTCCAAAACACCAGAAGGCAAGACAAGAAAGAATGGATGAACACTAATAAAGGAGAGAAGCAACCTGGAATAAGGAGAAACTTCCTAACAATGAGGACAATTAACCAGTGGAACAATTTGCCTTCAGAATTTGTAGGTGTTTCATCCCTGGATGTCTTTAAGAAAAGACTGGCCAACCATTTATCTGAAATAGTATAACGGGGTTGGACTAGAAGACCTCCAAGGTCCCTTCCAGCTGTATTCTGATTGAACAACTGAACTTCAAAACAATGCCAGTGGGTTCCATTCAGTTGGCTTCAGTTTGTTTACAATTTCAACATAAATAAAAAAGCAAAACATTTCATTCTGAATTATGAATAGCACTCTAAATGTTGCTTATGCCAGCTTGCTTTAAAGTATAACTTTATTACATGAGCCACTATTTAAAAATACACAACTAACAGTGCAGTTATTTTAACGTGTTCCTAATATTTTAGCTAATAGTGGTAGTCTTACAAGTAATTTCTTATTACTAACAATGAATTGGTATGTTCAACAGCTGTAACTTAGTTCATTTGATATTTTTCTTTGCTATTATTATATACAGAATTTTAAAAGCCCCACAATGGTGGGAAATGTACAATGATCCTGAAAAAAATGACTGATCCAAATATTGTTTTGGATAGCATGAACAGGCAAACATATTTGGCAACACTTAATAGTTAAATAAACATTATATATAGCAGTAATTTAGTTGCTGGACTTTATTTTCTGTATAAAAGACCTGTCCACTCTAGTAACAATTTCCTGCTGTGACTTTTACATCATATACTATCTGCCCAGTGGCAAGGACTTTTGTGATGTTTATTCTGAAATCTTCCTACAGATACATGGAAACTAACTGAAGAACAACTTAAACCATCTTTAAGATCTCCCTCCATACAGAAAATTGAAAACATAGCATTTCAATCCCCAGTTGTCGTACGAGATTACAATATGTGAACAAACAATCAGTAGAATTAGCCAAGCATTCCCAGAAAGCTTCTCCTTCTCTCTCTTCAAGATTTTCAGAAGTAGTTTGCCGTGGCCTCCTTTCTAGGGCTGAGAATGAGTGAACAGCCAAAGGTTACCCAGTTAGGTTTGTGCCTAAGCCAGGGCTAGAACTCATGGCCTGCCAGTAAACTTTAGTAACCAATACACCTTAAAGCATGGATTAGCTGTTCACACAGTGATCAGATAGGGGCAGATATTCTACCCATTGGTTTGCTGGCTAGAAATGTTTCCTTTTTCACGGCATTATTTTTTAGACTTCACTGCTTTAGCACTCTCAAACTGCTAAATACCCATTTCTGTCTTTATACTACTCCTCTCCATGAAATATTTCTCATTAATTTCAGCTTAGATTCATGCTAGATTTAATAGTGATCCTCCTCTTCATAAATGCAGAATAGGACTCATTTTATTATGACAAATGAAGTGCTGATCACAATAATAATCTAACATTGTTATGCTTAAATTTAACCAACAAAACAAAATTCAAAACCCGAAGTAGGTTTGTATATGTCTGTCTGTGCACATGTGCAGGCTAAAAGCTACTTTCCTCCCTTGAAATTAAACTTAGCTTCCCCCCTCTCCCACTTGCACCAATAAGACAATTATTAATTGCAGGTACCTGAGTCCAAGATGATTCAGACAATGCTCGGCAGGAGATCTGTACAGAATTATGCCTTGACCTTGCTCCCTGGCCTTATGTTAATGGTAAAATTATGCAGTTAATGTTGAGGTAGCTTGAGCAGCTATAGGGCAGTCTTTCCCAGCAGTCTCCAGATGTAGTGGGACTTAACTTCCAGAGGTCCTAGCCACTGAGGCCTCAAAAAATTATGATTATAGGAAAAATCCTTTAAGAATGGATGCTTGTATTTTGGACAGTTTACTGCATCAGGCAGCCTGTGCTTGGAAGAAATTCATGGAGATAACTAGCAACTGCTTTTGTTAGATAAGTCATGGTTCCATAAGCACCACTTGGAGCACTGTCATAGAAAAAGTAGTAGATACCTGTGCCTACATCTTGTTCCAAGAAACCATCAACTGCTCCAAGGGATTTCTGGAGAAAAAAGTAAAGAGAAAGAGGTATATAAATACAAAACAATCCTCACTTAAAAATGGTCAAATAACTTAAAGCATTATTTTTCAGAATAGGAGTTCATCAGCTTTAATTTCCAAAAGGGGCTGCTCCTCAATCTTGAATGAGCTACTAAGACCTGTATGTATGTAGATTTACTGTATGAGGGTCAGTCATACTTTCCCTCCAATTCTACAATATGTTGTCAATTGGGAGTGGTGTCAATCAAAGTCAATATGAGTTTGCTCAAGTGCTGGAAGCCACTGCAAGGCAAAAGGTGAGTCATGCACTTTAAAATAGCAAGGAAGAATGCTGCAGCAGGGAATTACTCATCAAACCAAGGATATAAGTAGTCCTCTTAACCTCCATGCAAATGTTATCAACCAGCTGTACCCACAAGCTGTGTTAATTGCGGGTAGGCAGGTGAAAATAAAAAGGATTATGTGACCCGTTTCTCCATTGCCACTAGCAACACTAGTCCTAAACCCTATACGAGTCTCTCTGCATTTCAGTCATTAAAATATATCCTTTCCACTCATTCCCTGTGATTCAGCCACTAGTGCAGGGATCAGCAACCTTTAACACTCATAGAGCCATTTGGGAGGAGGAGCCACATTGCGGCGGAACATCGTGTGGACTTGACAGTTCGAGTCCGCCGATGACACTTTTGCCCTTGGATGGTCCGGCAGGACCTAAACTGTCCCGAAGAGATGGTGACTGGGAAGACAAAACCTTGCTGGTCGCAGGGACACCGCAAAGTCCCTGATCGACCCAAGGGTAGCGCTTCTAACCAGCGGCAAACAGGCAGCCCCCAGGCTGACATAGTCAGANTGTTCAAAACCAGTCCAAATTTAATTCCGCTGTTTATTTCTTCTGTTCTCCAATTTAAATTAATTTTAAGTTTTTTTTAATAGGCAGTCACTTTTAAAACAGTAAAAATTCCTCATCAGCTGAAAACACTTTCTCTTTCCATATCCTTCCGTTTTGGAGCCGCCCCGATTTCATCAGCCATTTGGCTGGATTTTTTGTCACCTGCTTGAAGAGCTTCTCTTGGATCAAGTCAGAGACTTTGCGATGTCCCTGTGATCAGCAAGATGTATTCTTCCTGTTCACCATCTCTACCCCCCCCCCCGGATTTTGACATTCCCTTTTAAAATGACCGGGTTTGCTATAGTTGTAACACTTTCCTTGAGGCTTGCTGCCTTGCGATAAAGCAGATGCCAATAAATTGGTTTGATAAGAGGCTGTTCCTATATCTTGACACGCTTTAATCATATCTGCCAAATCAGGATTGTTCCCAAGACCAATAATTATCCTTCAGCATTCGGAAGCGGCGTTGTCCTTTGCCAACTTCATCAACAACTCCTGCTGAGCTTCAGGATTGTCTATCTGCCACCGTAAAGCATCCTGTAATCTGTTATTAAAATCAGGATATGGCTCAGTAGCCTTCTGCCTGGTATTAGAGAAGGCTTGATGATGCTTGCCAGACACTTTTCCAAATGCTCAGTAGGCGCATTCAGAAGAAACCTGTAAAGTGGCAGCTGGTAAAACAATCTGAGCATCAACTGGAGCAAAGGGCCCAAACCCGTACAATTGATGAAGAATGAAGACCCCCCCCCCCGAGTGAAGAGCACGCACAGCACATTGGTGTTTAAATTCGCTGTCCCAAACCACATATTGCACTGGAGTAAGCAACATGAAGATTTCCAATCTTCAGGTACCAAAATATGATTTCTCATAGTGGTTTCCAGAATTCCTTGCACATAGGTACTACCCAACCCATATCTTTAATACCTTTTCTAAGTTCTGTTAAAACTGTATATGACATAGGACGATATCCTACTTTTTGAGCTCCATTGTGATCTACTTGTCCCATAGCGTGTACTGGACAAACATATGAACACTTTCTTCTATATCCCCCCCCCTTGCTAATTGTTCCTCTAAAATTTGTCTCATGGGGGTATACAATGGCCATGGAGAAGCAGAAGAATTAACCTCTTAATGAGGAGCTGAAGGGGAATAATTTTTATTTGATTTTAATCAGGCGGAGGTTTTGTGGTCAATTGTTGTCCTGACAAAGCATCAGAGCCAAATTTTTCCACTGCATTGAAACCATAGATGTAATATCTGTACTGGAGCCCAGGGTTCAAAATGTAAAGTATGCCCTATCTTTGCCCAATCTCATAAACGGAGCATCCCGCGCTCTGGATACCAGGGACAATGTTTCCCTATCTCCCCAACCAGCTTCCTTATGTTCGCCTCGGGTGCCGTAACACCTGATTTTTGTAACAGGAATCGAAGTTCCGGTACATGTTGTTGCTGTTGTTGAGATAGATTGCAACCCATACTTACCACTGAGGGGTCCCAGAGGACGAAGGTGAACCTTGGGGTCTATTCCAGATGAAGGTAAGTATGTTGGCTGTTGCTTCCCCCGGAGGGTGTCCCTGTTTGGGCGCCAGATGATGGATTCAGAAACCAGTCATAGCAGGGTATCCAAAATGTCTCCCTGTCTTCGCAGAGTTTATTACTTTTTATACAGTTTTAAAAAGCAGCAAAGAGTATATAGCAATAGCATCGTTATTGGTGTATTCTCCTTGTGAATCTTTAAGAATGTCCTAGCCAGGGTAGAGTCTCGCATATCTTGATGGTTCCTGGTGATGCCTGGTGGTGCTAATTAGGTGAGCTCATAGACATTTGAGGTAAACAGGTACTGAGGTGTGGCAGTTTGCTGCACATGGCCTCTACGTAACCTTTATATGACCTCTATCTTTACATTAGACCCAGATGCTTCCCGGCTCTCCTTGTCCCAGAAGCACCAATCTCACATTCCCCTCTCTGCTAGCGGCAANTGCAGTACTGCAGGCCACTTCAGCTGACTTATCTGCAGTTCAGTGGTTCTAATCTCACTGGCTCAAGGTTGACTCAGCCTTCCATCCTTCTGAGGTGGATGAAATGAGGACCCAGACTGTGGGGGCGATATGCTGACTCTGTAAACCGCTTAGGGAGGGCTGAAAGCCCTATGAAGCGGTATATAAGTCTAACTGCTATTGCTATAGTGGTGGGATCATCTGACAGGGAGTTGCAGGAGAGGGCCCAAAGAGACACATTCAGCTCAAGAGCTGCAGGTTGCTGACCCCCGCATTAGTGTAAACACTCTCCCAGTGACCAGATCTCTTGAACGCATTAGCAAGGAATAAATAACAAGAGGATTTTATACTTGCCCTACCCAAGATAGCTGGCCTCTTACCTTAATTATATTTATCCCACTGGTCAGCACGAGGCAGGTACAAGGTTTTTGACTGAAGTGGCACCCCTGCTTTGCCTTTTTTTTGCAACTAGCTAATCATGAGTTTGCATGGTAAAGTGCCAATTCCACTACCTAATATTTAAAGCAGTGGTTTTTAATTTTTAAATTAAACTGATAATCTAATGTGGCCAAGTGGTGAAGATGATTGCCCCCCACTTGGAAGGTTGAGAGTTCAATTCTAGGCAGCTGCATGTATTTCTCTTTTAGGGCACACACACACACACAAAAAAGCTGCATACTCCACACATGCGTCAGGAAGAGCATCCGGGCACTAAATGCTCAAGCAGCATTCAGTTTGCCTGACTATCCCAAATTAAAGGATTACAAGGTCATAAAAAGAAAACAAATCTAGTGTAGAGCAGATGGACAGAGAGAATAGAATATGATTGATAAGAAATTCATGTATTACTTGATTATTTTATTATAATAAAAGTCAGTGAAACTCAGGCTGAAGAATAATGAATAGAATAAAGGAATCAATCTGAATACAGAGGTTTTGTTATTTTTTTTCAGAAATCACATCCATAGAAGGAAAAATTCAAGAAATTAAGCCACAATCTATAAATTACTACAGAAAGGATTTACAGATCACAAAAACAAATTTATTTTGTGAAAGTTTAAACAGAAATTATAATAATGATCTGTTTAATAGAGGGATGTATTTTTTTCAATAGTCAATGGTAAATGGACTATAAATATGGTCACAGAACCAGAATGCAAGAATAACAACTTTTTTCTGAATATGAGAAACGGGGAACCTGTGATACTGGGAGCATAAACAGCCCCGAGACGTAATTGTGCAGCCTAAAAGGCTTATTCAAGATTGAATTTGCCAACAGTTGATGGTAGTTTCCTGTCATTTTGAAGTAGGAAACCCGAAAACAAACGAACAAATAAATGGAAGCTCTAAAATAAGCCAGTCACAAATAAACAAGTCACAGAAGTCAGTGAGGTTTGCTCTATTATCTCTAAAGAATCAAGAAAAAAATTAAAAATACCAATCAAACATACATGTCTGATTTGCCTATGATATTTTGTGCCATCACCTCTACTTAGGTGATTTCACAAAACCCATTATATAATATAGATAAGCAAGAGCAAATGAACTGTTAAAGCTACAGAGATTTTTGATGTAATGCAGAGCCCAAATGTAGCTCTAAAGAAAGGGCTGATATTAAAGATTGCCACAATCAAGTCCTTTCTAAAATATACAACCTATTAAAGACATTTGGCAATTGTTCTTTTAACTGTTTCAATAAATGCCTTGCTTGACAGAATGCAAGCAAGAAAAGTAGTTGTCAGTAAGTCACCTCTCTATAGATTGCCCTCAAGATTGGGCAAACAATTTGGTATTAACAGTGAACAAATAGGGTATATAAAAATGGGGACTCTCCTATGGACCACCTACCCAAGAATTCTCCCAAATTTTACAGCCCACACATTTAGAAGTCTCTTTAGGTAAGAGGAAATCCTCCATTACACCTACCTGTTCCTGAAGGAAGAGGTCATTTGCTATGTGCACAATTCGATCCACATGAATTATACCTCCAATGCTGTTCACATCTATTTCTGACAATAAGGTCAGCACAAGGATGGCCTCCACTAATAACTGTCTGTATTCAGGCTGGGGTACATGGTTCAGCACTGATTCCACATGGACAGCAAACTTAATTTCACAAGCAGTCATCTATAAGAAAATACGATAATGGTAGGAAAAAGGGAGAAAGAGGATAAGACTGACGAGAATGACATCACTGAAACTTCTAAAATAATGTTTGAACGATGCGAGTGCTACTAGAATTGCACTTGTAAGATTGAATTGCAATCTAAGTACCTTAGATTCAAGGAAGCAGACAAGGGATAGATCATCTCCATCCCATATACTCTAAGCCAGTGAAGGCTAACTCTTTCTGGACTGAATGCCCAAAGTGCCCACACCGTCAAACCCCCAAAATGCAATGCATGTGCCCTGCCCCTGTGCATGCGCTCCATCCCCAGTAAGTGCATGCATGGTCCCCTGCAAGCCAGAGGTGGATTGCTCCCAGTTCGGACTGGTTCAGACGAATCGGTAGTGGAAATTGGACCTGGGTCGCCGAACCTGTAATGATGGTTGGGTGGCCACGCCCCCAAACCAGCCCACTCGGACATTCGCCCTATCTCGCCTTTGCCATGTGGATTCACAGAACTGCTTCCTCCTGCCTACACAAAGGTAAGCAGCATTTGTGCTAGCCTAGCCCCCCCCCCCCATCCCTCCAGCTGCAACTCAGGCCCCGCCTGGTTGGGAAAGTGGTGAGCGGGCGGGCAGGACCGGCAGGGGCGATAGTGGTGAGCGGTAAGGGAAGCGAGCCCTGGGCCAACATCCCTGTCTCTTTCCTCCGAGAGCCGGCTTGGGGATGGCCAGCCTCCCACGCCGCTCCGCCCTTCCCTCTCCACCCCTGCTGGACAGAACATTGGAGGAAAGGCCGGTCGTGGCCACCTGGCCGTTTTCCCATCCATTACCGCCCAGAAGGACCTGGATTGCAGCGTAGTGGATTGCAGCGTAGTGAGAGGGTGCATGCAGGGCGAAATGGAAGAGGTAGGGATGCCGGTCCGGGGCTCGTTTCCCTTAGTGCTCACTGCTGCCGCCCATGCTGGACAGAGCATTGGAAGCCAGGCCGGTCCCGGCCACCCGCCTGCCCGCTGCCATGCCCTTCCCTCACCGTCCACGGAGATGGAGTGTTGGAGGCCAGGCTGGTCCTGGCCACCCACCCGCCACATTTCCAACTGGCTGCTCAGCTGACCAGGCAGAGCCTGGGTTGCAGCCGTGGGGAGGGGACATGTGCAGGGCAAAATGGGAGGTGGGAGACTGGGATCGGCCTGGCCTCCAACGCTCCGTCCAGCATGGGCAGCAACGGCGAGTGGTAAGGGAAGTGAGCCCGGACCGGCATCCCTGCCTCCTTCCTCTGAGAGCTGGCTTGGGAGATGGCCAGCCTCCCCCACCCATGCCCTTCCCTTGTCATCCAAAGGAGCCTCTGCTGGCGGGGCCCCTCCCATTTTGCCCCATGCGTGCCCCCACCCCGCTGGCTGCAACCCGGGCCCTGCCTGGTTAGCTGGGCAGCCAGCTGGGAAAGCAGAGAGTGAGTGGGCGGGCAGCCAGGAATGGGTGATAAGCGGTAAGGGAAGCGAGTCCCGGGCCAGCATCCTGCCTCTTTCCTCTGACAGCCACTGTGGCAGGGAAAGCGAGGCTTCTTTGCCAGCCTCCCAGCTGGCAAAACATAATTTTTCGCCGGTTGTGTGGGCGTGGCTAGGAGGAGTGGGTGGGCATATGGCGGAGTGACATCAGGTTGGCTACGCACACTCAGTCATATGCTCCGCACCTAGCAATGCCTACATAACCTGTACTAAAAGATGTTGAAATCCACTCCTGCTGCATGCACCCCGCTCCTGCGCAGCAGAGACCTGAAGACCAGCTGGCCGCACTCCACAGTTATTCTTGTTAGGTATAATTACAGACTGTACAGTTATAGAGACTAACTTGGTTTTTAACTTAACAACGGCAGCAAGATTGTTGGTGACGCAGTACTGGAAGAAGGAAGAATTGCCCACTACTCAAGAATGGACGTTAAAAGTAATAAACTTAGCAGAGATGGCCAAAATATCAGTATACTTGAAGGACCATTCAGATGAGAAATACAAGTTGTAATGGAGAAGATGGACTGATTATATTCAAAATAAATATCGGACTAAGAAATTTCAGTTAGCTTATGAATGAACAAGGAATGTTACAATTTACTTAAAGTTAGCTTAATAAAAGGGGAGTTAAAGTAGAAGTGAAGGTACGATGCTAAAGTTAGTTTATGTTAGTGTATGATTGCTAAATGTTTATACCCTGTATTTTGCTCTGGGAGGTTGGGGGGGAGGGTTGGAGGGAGTGCGGGGTTGGGGTGGAGGGAGGGAAGGGGAAATACTTGTAAAATCTATTAAAACTCTTTAATAAAAAAAAAACCAGCTGGCCACTGGGAGGTGTGTATGCATGCACAGAGCTGGGGTGATGGTTCACATGCCCACAGAGAGGGTGCTGCATGCGTGCCATAGGTTCACCATCACGGCCCTAAGCACATATTCCACTGATAGCAAAGTCTAAGGATATATAGTATAAGGTGCTTTTCATGTTAAATAGGACTGCACATGAACAGAAAGAGATACAAACACTATCTTTTTTTAGAAGAAACCTGGGAAATTTTGGCATTCATAAAGCACAGATTTGTATACAGTTGCAACTTTCATTCTAGCAGCTTTCACTTAGTTTAGGTGGTGGGAGTGCTATATATAGGTTTCCTGCAACCAAACCCAAGCAATCTAATTTGCGTCAGAAAAATGTCAAAATGTCACATGGAATCATTTAGGCTTATTAGATTTGATTTCTATTATAGAACAAAATTGAATTCTGCCAAGTTCTGTTAAATTGATTCCAGAATTTTCAAATCTTCCCTAATTTATCAACATACAATTATATTGCCAAGATAAGAGAGATGCCAAAGCACATCACTATTTTTAGTAATTTTTCTGCAAGTGTACAAATAAACTAGCACCCTGGTAGATAATGGTTGGAAAATACTTTTGCTGCTTGATGGATTCCTGCTCCATTTAAAAGTGTGATTGGTTGGGGAAAAAAGAAGCATGGAGTGTATCTTGTGTACATTGCTACTCTGTTTGGGAAACAGGCAACAGACATCTGTGGGTGAAGGATAGACACATATAACCCTAGCAAGGAGCCGCTCACTCCTTTAAAAAAAAAGTTAAAATGAAGTTGCAGAAGAAAAAAATAGAAACCATTAAAAATGTAAACAGTGACATTGCACTTGGACATTTCTTCAGCAGAGTCCTGTCTATTGCTCACAAGGTAGAAGTGATATGCCCAGATATAATATTAATCTAGAAATTCTTGGCACTTCAAAAATATTTTTTAAAAGAAGTGGACCAGATTTCTTTTTTTCTTCTTCTTTTGTGCTAGCATTGTGAGAAATTTGAGAGTTTTTTCCTCTCATATGAATTGGTCTTTTCCAGCCATAAATTAGTTTTGGTTTCAAATCATAGAACATATTAAATTCATTTTGGAAATAATTATAATATTTAAAGATATAAGATAGTAAACTATATTCCTAACATTCAGAATTTGTATTTTATGTAGAACTTTGGCTCTACTGAGCCTAGGACTTGGCAAAGTAGATAATCTAATATAAATGGAAGGATCCTTATTTTTCTGACACTAAGGAAAGTGATTCAGGATAACAGAGTGTTGTATTTTTTTTAAAAAAAAGACTTTATCTTCTAAAAATGATTAGAGGAAGAATGTTCCCACATAAGCTTAAGGATTGTTAATTCTGAATTGATTCTAAATGAATACTACTGGTTCTTCCTCACTGCTATATTTTTTCCTTACCCTTGGTGTTATAATGGTTTGTATTTTACTAGTATTAAAACTCCTTCTATGACCCTAAACAGCAACCAGCTTTCCATTTTTGTTGCTAAACTCTGGACAAATAAATTTCATCGCTAAAATTAGCATTTGTGTTGAAGCCATAATTAAGAACCCTTGGCAAGAACTGAGCTACTCAAAGCATACAGCTAGCAATGGATTCTCCCCCTGCCTCTTTTTTTCTTCTCCTCAGGAAGTAGCAGGCAAAGGAAGGAAACCCATTTTTTTTCAAAAGCAGAAAACACAGCAGTAGTAAAAATAGGAAATGCCAAATTATTATGGATGAAATACACTGCAAGTTTTTTATATCTTACTAAATAAAATAAAATGTTAATAGATTTTAGTTTTATAGCATAACCTTAAGAAAAAGAAATTTGCTTCATAACTATGCGTAACAATTGCTGCAACCGTCAGGCCTGCCTCTATTCAAAACCCAAGAAAGAAAAACCCCAACTCCATTGAGATAAAGAGGTACTTTTAGTGAGTTTGAAATGATAGCAGTGAAAGCAAGGCAAGATCTGATTCAAAATGTGGAAAAGTTACAGAAAGTTCCCCCAAATCCCTCTCCCCAGAGTCTAGCGCTGAGGGTCCAATCAACGTCCAGTATGATTTTGTGTGAAGTTCATCTTCAGTATTTCACCCATCTGGAGTCCTAGGACAGCCTTGACAGGGTGTAAGCAACTGCACTCAGCAGCGCAATAATTCTTGAGAGCAAACGTCCCTTTCAGTTCACATGGGATTTTACCTCACCAGCTCACTTCCCCAATCCAAATATCATGCCTCTCCTCCTTGTTACTATGGCAGCTGATAACAAGCATGAAACAAAGTCGAACCCCATGCTGGAGATCCAGCTGATAGCAACTGTGTGGGAATAAGTCTATCTAAATTAATATGCCTAGGGTTGGATTCTAAGTTTTAATTTATTTATTCACAAATTAGTTTCTCCTCAATGATCAGCTGAATACAGTAATTCAAAAAAAGAAATGTGGTTCTTTAGGTATATTGAGTGTTAATCTTAAAAAATTACCATGCTATTATATCAAGAGACAGTTGTTAGCATTCAATGTGCTTGGAACCAATTATTTTTTTCACTTGCCATCCTAATCCAAAATAGGTAAATAATGGACTGAGTAGGATTCAGAGATATACACTTTTCAATATTAGAAAACCACTGCTATTAACTGCAAGCACCAATACTATTTGACATTATCTCATTTTACCTCATGCTATACTAGATTTCCATATACCACATTGTCTCAATGATAAAATGAAACAGTTTATCTTACCTCCCTTGTGGTTGAAGATGGAAGGACATACCCATCAATAGATAGTCCATGACACTAGAAAAACAACATTGTTTTACTATAAAAACAATAAAACAAATTAGTATATAAATTAATTATAGGAATTTAAGGTGGAGGTTGGTTTAAGTTCTTTCTAGTATTATTTAATGTGACCAATAAATTTAACACTGATTTAGTATAACTTTCAAAGAAAACATTTTCATACCAAACTAGAAGGTAATTACATGGGCATCTCAATTCAGGTTTTTTTAGAAAAGAGGTTTGCCATGAATTCTTCTGGAATCTTGGATTTCTTAGCTTAGCCTTCAGCCTTTGGGGCTTTTAGTGATCTGTAATCCAAGTGCTAGTGAGATTGGATTCTTTTGGGAAGGGGAAGAGAGTCAATGAAATTTAGCTAAGTGCTACTATGATGTAACTAATGCAGTGATTCTGGAATTCTTAATGAAAAGCATCATTTATGGAACAGAAACCCGACTCTCTCCCCTCCCCCCTCTCTCTTTCTCTCATATTTTGTCTATAAAACAAATTTTATGTGTTCTTTATGGCACTAAGAGTATTAAGAAGTGGATATTTTTGCATGAATAATAACATAATGATTATCTTAGTAGAATTATTGTTTATAAAAGATTAGCAAGCACCAAATATTTTGGAATAGAAAGGATAATCAGAATTAAAAAGGTGTATTTTCAGTTAATTCTGCTAAATATGCAATTTTACTCTGAGAAGTTTGAATGTCAAACAAATGAATACATACCATTTCATTTGTTTCACTAAGTTTTCATTAAGACATCTGCCATTTGCAAACAGGCTGACAATAGTGAAAAAACATAAAGCCTGTGTCAACCCTTCACAATTTCATATGTCAAGTGGTTCTCCATTATGCTGAGGTGTATTTCACCACTCCTCCATTTATTGAAAAAAAATAACTCTTAACTTTTTACATTTAACATTAATTTACATTTTTGAATAATCAAGAGTGCTAGGGACCAAAGTAATTCTGGTGTTTAAAATTGTTATTTAATATACCTACAAATGCTTGGCTTGAATGAGTTCTATCTAGTTCACAGGAGGATGTATCATATTTTTTTAAAAAGACCCCAAAGCAGAAAAATATTCTGAAAATATTTTCAGAAAGTATATAATATTGAAAGTTTAATTTTAAAATAAAGGGTCAAGTGTCCTTATTTTATTCATAATTATTTGAAAAACACAATTCAAAATATTTCAGTAAGCTTAGCCAAAGATGTGAATTCACTGACAGCTTAAAGGTTTAAAGTAGCTAGATTCCAAATGTAACAATGCACATTAAACCCACATGGCAATATTATCAAGCATTGGTATTTCCAATTACCTTCTGAAGGATCTTCCACACTTTCTGATAGAAACCCACAGGGACTCTATTAATGGCACCATCAAGCCGTCTCCTGCGAAGCCACTGCCCTTGCCGATCACCCCAGCTAATAGAGTGTCCAACTGACCCTGTTAGGGATGATGTACTAGTAGGAGAAGATGGGCTACTGCATCTCTGTAGAAAAGACAAAATTAATCCCGTAAGGCAACATAAACACCAATTTCTCAGAAACATCACTCTGATGCCCCAAAGAAGAATGCATGCTTGTAAAAATCATTCCTGTCTTCGTGTCTTCAGTGCATGCCCAACCTATTTTCTCATTAATGCAATCTTTCTTTTCATATGCCTTTCTTTTTTAAAATCCGTCAAAAATTGCTTGCACATTTTGTCAGCAATGTTGAATGAGGAGCTAAGTCCATAGTGTAGATGTAACATCAAGTTATCTAATGAGTCCGCTGGTTAGATGAAAAGTCATGGACATTTCATTAAAACCACCATAACTACTCCCCCCCTCCCGTCTCACTCAGAAACCTGAAAACCAATGTGGCTGATGTTTTGCTCATGTAAGGAAAAAGTTCCTCTGAAACATTTCATAGCTAACACAGCTTTATTAACTACATATAAATTAGCAAAATTAAGCTATGTTTTATTTAAAGTATTTAAACAGCTCATATACTTTAAATTAATTATTTATGGGGATGTGACATTTAAGAACAAAACATCTATTTTGTTGTTTTTCAAAGGGCCATCCATTACCCCATTTAATACCAAAGGTCCATCTGTTACCCCATATAATATCATGCATTAATCAAATTGGACAGCCAGCACAAAAATGAAGAATCAACTAATTATTTAAATGCTTTTTTTCCATAAACCATTTTTATTATTGTCCTATTCAGCCATCTATTGCTTTGTATGGGTAGGATAAACTGTCTGCCCTCACCAAGGATAATAAAAGGCTGAGGCTTATTTATGCATTTATTGGATTTATATCCTGCTTTTACTTTGTTCAATTCAAGACAGCATATATCATGCTCCCTTCAACTATTTTCCCCACAGCAATGTGAGGTAGGTTGGGCAAAAAGTCACCTAGTCAGTTTCTGTGCCTAAGAAAAGACCCATAAAGTCTGTAAGTTCAACACCTTAACTGTTAGGTCAGGGGTGGGCAATTAATTTCCCCAAAGAATCATAAGAGGAACTGGGACTGTTGTGAAAGGCCAAACCAATATGTCTTAATTGTGGTCCCCCAACTTGCCCAAGGCCACACTTCAACCGAGGTGGCTGTGGGTGGCCGAGCCTGAGTCCCCTCAATTAATGAACAATACTGCCTCCACAGGCTTCTCCAGGATAGAGATGAGCACTTTGCAGGCGCAGAAAAGCACTTTCTCTCCTCACCCTCCTGAGACCGCCAGCTGACTGAAGGAGTGCACAGCTACTGCACAGAGTCTTGGCTTCTTCTCTCACTCCCTGTAGCATGATTATTTATGTCTGGTTTCTGATTTCCAATTGGCCTCCCACTGGACAGGAATAGTCAAAGGGCTGGATGTGGCCCAAGGGCCATAAAATGCCCAGAGCTGTTCTAGGCTCATACTAGATAAAAAATCAAATATAGTTTCTATAATCTCCCCTTTTCTCTACCCTTTTACTGAATCAGGGGATGTATTCTTCTGTGAAGTAATTTAGACCTCAGCAGTCATTCCTAAGTTAAGTTTTGATGAGCTTCCAATAATGAAACAATTGTATCATGATAAACATATGTCATCATATTATTTACAAAATATTACATTCATTCACTTAAATAAAACATTGATTATAAATTTTTATTTTTTGTATTATGCATGCTAAACTAAATCTCTTCAGGCATTTTATGCAGAACTCTGGCCTGCTGTAGACATTTAAACTACAATTTCTAAGGATGTTAGTTAGCCTTGCTTAATTAGGACATGTCAACATTTTTCAATTTTCCATTTCCAAACATTAGGGATGCTCAAAAGTTTGACATGTTTGGGGATTCTAAAGATATTTTGGTTATTTTGATATAATTTAATGTACTTGTAAGCCATGACTGTGTTGCCCTGAAAATACAACCTACTCAGAAAGTAAGTGCTAGCTTGATTTTTACACCTGCACGCAATATAAGCCCTACCCCCAAAATAAGTGACCCCACCTATTCCAGGATGCACAGGTAAAAATTAAGCTAGGGTGGGGATGGGGATGGAGCTGCTCTACTACTTACCTTTGGATAGTTGCAGGCAGGCCTTGCACACCTCAGCCCATTTGTTTTGCTGCAGCTGGCAAGGCTTTCCTGAAGGCCCCTGTAGTCGATAACAGAGCTCCAGATCGATTTTGAACTCTGTTATTGATTACAGAGCCCTTCAGGAAAGCCTTGCTGGATGAAGAAGTTCCTGAAGGCCTCTGATAGTGAAAAAGAGGCCGGGGGCAACATGCGCAAGTGAGATGAGTCAGTGGAAGATGTCCCTCCCGAAAATAAGGCCAATGCCTTTTTTGGTGGAAAAAAAATATAAGACAGGGTCTTGTTTTCAAGGAAACACAGTACATGAATATCATACTTTTTAAATAACTTGTCTCATTTGTGTTTCCCAGCCTCAGCAATTTTAAGAAGTGTGAACTTCAATTCCCAGAATTCCCCAGCCAGTTCACTGAGGAACAGCAGCAATATAAATCAATAATATTTTTCAAAATGTTTCACAGAATTTGTAATGGCAGAAAAGAAAAAAGAAGTCTGGTTTACATTGTTAGAATGTGCATTATATCTCAAATTTCAGCTAAGAACCTTTTAGTGCAGCCCCATTTGAAAGCATATTTTTCTAGATTTTCTTCAAGATGCCATCCATGCTTCAGGAAGAAACAAAAGAAGCATTTTTGGTAGTTGTGTCAAACTGATTATAAACTATCATTAACACTCCTCCTGGAGGTGATAGAAGAGTAGCTTGCTTTACTTAAAAATTCTTCACTTCAGTGCCCTCTAAATGTTTTGGACTGCAATCTTCATTATTAGCAGAGATTATAGTCATTGGCTGTGCTGGGATAGGGGATGATAGGAGTGGTAATCCAATACATCTTGATGGCACTGGGTTGGAGAAGATTAGAGTAAAATTAGGATTAAAATAGGTTGATCAGTTTCAGTTATGTTTCTATAATATATAATGATAATCTGTTAAATATTTAAAATGCGACTGAAATAAGTACAAAAGAATAATTTCAATTGATGAAACACTATTCTAGATACAGTAAAATCCTTAATTCAATCTTGTTAAATAATCTTAGACATTGCCAGTGAAAATAAATATTATGATGAAACAGAATTCCTGAATATTTAGAGGTTGTAGGAAAAGGCACTTTGGAAAAAGTTCATATACTAAAATGTTCTTATACAACTATTAAATATATGGATGTTCATATATAAAAATCATAGTTTTAAGAACCTAAAACTATTAAATTTACTTCCAGGCAGAATAACCACTTCGCCAACTTTTATCATATTCTGAAAAGGAAAATAAAATCTTTATTTTGTTTAACATCCAGTCCACTTTTCCTCCAGGAATTTAAGATGACATACAGCAAATGATTAATATTCTCACAGATGTTAACCTTAAAGGTTTGAGGGTATAGTGAGTTGAGAAAATCCAATGGCTCAAGATCAAAGTCTAATGACCAATTTTATACTATCCCATACTGTGACTGTTATCATAGTACCTGGGTATATGGATCATACCATCTGGTGTTAAATTGCCAACCATAAAGTAAACTTCTTGATAGGTTTACTACAATATACAAAATGTCAGAACATGTATGTTAACCATATTGTTTAGGAGGAATTAAAAGGATTATGAAAGCAAGTACTGTATAATCTGGCAACTGTAGTAGTAGTTGAAAACTCTTGCCTCGGATCCTGGAGAAATGCTGCCAATCAATGCATTACACTGGACTAGATGGACCAATGAATAATCTGAAGATGTCATGTTGCAACTGTCTCATCTCCGTGTATTTTCTCAAAAATATAAAGACATCCTATAAAAGACCTCATACTTTCCTGATTTATTCTCATGTATAGCGTTATGCCTTGAGAACTGAATTACTGATCTATGTTAATTCTATTTAAAGCTAGATCAGAGGAGAAGGCAACAAATCCATCTCCAACTCACTAAAGTCATTTTAATGACATATGCTGTCATATACAAATAGTCCTTGACATACAACCATTAGCTTAACAGTGTTTGGAAATAATAGCACCTCAGAAAGAATGCTTTACAACCTTTGGAAAACATCACACTAATCCTCTTGCCACTCACATAATAGTGCTCTAGGTGCTAGGCAATCTGTTCATACTTACGACTGATTGCCAAGTGCCCCATAGTCACATGATCGCCATTTGCATCTTCTCTGCTGTCTTCCCCAGAAAGTCAATAGGGAAATCAGCAGAGAATGTGACAAGTTGCTGCCACCTGATGAAAAGACTCCCTCCTGTGTCTGGGAACTAGCTCAAAGAGCTGCTTGTCCAAGGATTTCAGCTCCCCAGGGATCTGCTCCCCAGGCAGGGCGGGATAAGGACTAGGTCCAGGACTGTGGCAGGTTTCCATATGTTGGTGGGCCTGTAGCCTGCATCAAGTCTCCCAGGGCCTCTTCCATCCCATAAGGCACCCCTGCACTCTCCTCAACATCTTGTGCAACTGCTTAATGACCAAAACTGGCAGTCCTGGGATTGTAGTCGTTAAGCAAAGCAAGTTTGTTGAAGACTATGTACATTGAAAAAGCTATTCAGCTGTCAGCTGCTCATCTTCGCTTTCTTTGAAGTTCACTAGCAACTGCCATAACCAGGGAGGAGGGGGCATCAGGGAGGGGAAGTGTGCTGGAGGTGTCAAAGAATGCTGAAGGAAATTGGGGAATATAGACACTAACAGGAACCAGAAGTACCAAACAGAGCCATCTGTCGAGCTTCAACGATGCCCATCTTGGGAAAGGAAAGATGGAAAAATGAAATACTGGTGCCTGAGGCATTGAGTTCCCAAAACATCAGAACGAGACCTGATTGGACTGCTCTCCCAGGGGGATTGCTTCAATGTATGATTTTCGTACAGTTTTTCCTCAAAACTTGTCTCATCAATGCTGCACTCAGCATCTCTAGTAAAAGTACCTTTTCTTGAAAACATATGGAATCAATGGTTGCACTTTCCCAGGGAGTAGTTAGGGCCAGTCTGAAAGTAGACAAGCTCTGCTGTAGCAGTCAATCCGGAGACCAGTAGGGACTAAGCAAAGAAATGACAATCCATAAAAGTGGCCTAGAGGAGGATGGAAGTCACGGAGCCAAGGGATGAAGACATCTTTTGCCCTGGGATTGATATGCGCAGGAGACCCAAAACAATTGAGGTTTTTCCTTGCGGAGGTGTAAAATTATATGCAGGAGTACCAGTCGACCTGGTCACTGAAGCACCCTGGGTCTGGTGCGTGACATGTCCCTGGAAGGCTTCAGAGTGGATAGTCTCCCTCCACAATGACAATGCACCAGAGCTCTGAAGCTTTGACCAATTCATTATGGGTCTTGCACAATTGATTCGAAGACCCACTTGCCCAACACAAGGCCTGAACTGCTGCAAGAAAACCCCCAAGTAACCCTTTAGCCCTATGCCTACACCTCCAAAAAAATTAACAGACACAGAATGGAAGTGGACAGCCTGGAAAATCAACAATTCTGGTGACCGTCTCTCAAAAAAGACATTGAAAACTATGTGCATAAGCCAAAAGACAACCAGGGAAAGCCATGGGACTACTGCAACCAGTGGCAAATCCCCATGTCCCTTGGGAAGAGACCTCTAAGAAGTTTATAGTGGAACTGCTGAGAGTTCCACTATTATGAAGCTGGTAACTTCATAATTTCAATGGTTACTGATTTTTGAAACTCATGGGGACTGCCCAAGGCTTAAGTTCCTCCCACCACCACAAATGAATAGGGGGTGCAAACAGGCCGATTCAGTACTGGAACTGTACTTCAGATGCTATATTAATTATCAACAAGATAACTGGACTGATCTTTTACCGTTTGCAGAAGTGGCATATACTAATTCAGTGCATAGCAGCAGCAGGTTTATCTCCTTCAAAGTAGCTTCAGGTCAGGACTTTGCAGCAATTCTAGAACTACCTTTGGACAAACCCGGAACCCCTCATTACAAGAATGGATACAACAACTACAAAATACATGGCCAGTAGTGCACAAAGCACTTGAGGAAGCACTAGAAGCTTACAAATGGCAAACCAAAAGAATTTGGAAGTTGGAGACAAAGTATACCTCTCCACAAAGTACATACAATACACCGAACAATCCAAAAAACTGGGCCCTAAGTACAGTGGTCCGTTCCAAATTAACAAAATCATCAACTCAGTCATGATAAAATTGGAATTGCCCAAAAATCTGAAAAGAATTCACCGCATATTTCATTGTAGCCTGCTAAAACCAGAAGTAACCCCCTCCCTTTAGCCACCTCCTCCCACATCACCCTTTCCTATTTTCATAGAAGGGGAACAACATTTTGAGGTTAAAGAAATTTTGATCTCTCAAAAACACAAGGGCAGGATCCAATATTTGATTGCATGGAAACATTTTCCTGCTTCCCAGTTTGAATGGGTTGACGGACACTACGTTCGAACTGACAAACTCCTTCGTGCTTTCCACAAGAAATATCCCCCAAAACTTAAAATGTTGGACCTTGTATGAATACTTCAATTTTCTTTTCTTTTCAGGCTAATGCCTTGCAAAGGGGAGGGGGGAATGTTAGCTGCTCATCTTCCTTTTCTTTGAAGCTTGCTAACTAAGAGGGAAGAGAGGGGAAGTGTGTGTGGGGTGTCCAAGAATGCTGTGAGAAATTGGGGAGTAAGGACACTAATAGGAACCAAAGGTGCCACACCGAGCCATCTGCTGAGTTTCAAGGATGCCAGTCCTGGGAATGGCATTTACATTGGCATCTGAGGCACCAGATTCCCAAAACATTGGAATGAGACCTGGTTGGACAGCTCTCCCAAGGGGGAGGGTTTGGGGCACTTGCAATTGCTTTCAATGTATGATTTTCACACTGCTTTTCCTCAGAGCTTGTCTTATCCATGCTGCACTCAGCATCTCTAGTAAACGAACCTTTTCTCTAAAACATATGGAGTCAAAGGTCGTTCTTTTCTACGGGCCCAATCTGACACTGAGTCACTTTATGGTTCAGTGGAAGTGTCAGCATTGAAGCAATTATAGCCCTAAGTACTATTTTTTTTTATTTGTACCTATAATGCTAAAATTATTCTACTAATAAATAATTGGAAATCAATATTTTAACCTATGTGAAAGCCTGTTCCAATAAAACATATTTTCTGATGGAAAGGAAGAAATTGGGAAAGAAAAATAAAGTGTCTTCTTCCATATCAGTAGAATTTTAGATTGACCCAGACTGACCATTCACGCTGAATTTACCATTATGCAATTTGGCATTATGAAATGTAATGATGGTTGAATTAAATCATATCTAAAAAGGGATGATTATATGCATATTTTGGCTTAAGACCTGTGACCCCCCCCTGCTCATAGCGTTGGGTATTATAATAGTTTCTAATTACTTGATTTTAGTATTTAAATAATTGTATCTTTGTATGTGGACAGAGATTATGTCAATTTATCTTTGCTCATTATTTGAAAATATTTTTTAAATTAATGGAAATTTATTTTCTAGTGTTTAATTTTATAAGCATAGTTCATGTGGCAAATTATGAGTTCACAATCATTTTAATAAAATAAATCTAGATTATTTATTTTAAGATTCATTTCTCTGATAGCATTACAACCAATATTACTAATTAAAGAAAACTTGCAGATTAATAGGGAGTTTAAACAGTTACTTTATATAATTTTGTCCCTTTTCTAGTTTTTATTTGTGGAAAATGTACACGCCCTGTGTTTTGAACATATAATTCCAATCACATGATGTATATAATACATCATAAAAGTTTAATTTTTAATTAATAATTTGTTATGATTTTTACTGTAAAGTAAATTAAGGCCAGTTGATCTTAGCTATATGCCTATCCACAGTAAGGGAAAAGAGAGATTTTAAATTTCTGAATGATGAATTACCATGGACCTGGATGAGTGCATGCTGCTGGATGTGGAATGGCCCCCATAGAAGAACTATAAAACAGAAATACAAAACATATAAAAATAGTCAGTAAGTAAAATCAACAAAACATGGATAAAATATGTATGTATTAAAAAGGGTAAATCTCAAAACATTCCTTTTTCCCTTTGCTAATGTCTGCTAGATGGTTACATTATTGTACTTTCAGTAGTATTAGAGAAAACTGAATATTTTCATTGTGCCTGAATGAAAATATATTATATTCTGTTTGACACTTCTGGATTTTGTGTCCAATACTGTTACTGAGAATATTGATATAACAAATAATAAATAAAATCCACAAGCTTTAAAATCTGGAGCAAATATGCAATGAAGATCAAAATCTTGGCCTATACCATATACCACGAAGATGCATGCAAATGCAACGTCAAAGACCAGGTTATTGCAAAAATTGAAGTTAATGAATCACTTTGCTAAAAATGCAAGGGTTAAATAAAATTATTCACATATGCATGTGTTTTATCCATGTCATAAATCCTATGAATCTTCCAGGAGTGCAATGGTATAAAAGAGTAAATCATTTCTGCTTTCTCTCTTTCTCTGCAAATACCCATTTGGTGCATCTTTTTCATGGAATTTGAATTCACAGAACCACAGAGAGGAATTCATTTCCCCCATATTTTAACTCTAGTTTTGCATGTTCCCCTTTCTGAGCTACTCATTGCTAAATGCAGAATGGAAAGACTAGATTCCTCGAGAGGGATTTGAGAAGGTCTATGAAACCAAACCGTAGTACTGGGAAGCTTTATCGAACGACCATATAAGTTGACTCCAAATCTAAAATGCTATTTCTAGGACTTCCGGGGGAGGAGCCTGCCGTCGCCGGTGGCTCAACGGAGCTGCCTCCAGAGTTCTGGTCTGTATATCTAAAAGATCCATAGATATCTCTCCTTCCAGGCAAGGAAGGAGCAGGGAGGAACTCGGTCGTTAGNTCACCTGGTCCTAGAGATGACCTTACAGGGCCGGAACAAGGGATCGCTGTGACGTAGCGAACCCTCCTTCCCCGGTAATGGCTAGCCCTGTAGCTCCCACCATACCTGCCCCTCCCAGTCATGACCACAATGCTCCGGCCCACCCCCATCTCCACAGATTCCCCCCCTCCTCCCACGGTCCTTGTTCCCCTCGGCAGGCCATCCATACCATGCGCTCTGGGATGAGAGGCGGATCTGGGCCCCCATCCACTTCTGCTTCTGCACTCAGTGGAGGGGGCTCCAGGCCACACTCTCAATCCCCTCATACATACCGGCCAAACATTCTCCACATGCATACCTCACAATATTAAAAAATATACAGCAATATAATAAAATAGAGAAAAATAAATTAATTTAAAAAATGTGGGATCACTCATTCACATACATTCCACATACACTCCCCATACAGAAAAGTTGTGCAGCTGTTAATAGTGTGCAAAGTTCATGCAAAGTTTGTAGGCGGGTTCGCAAAATTTCACACAAATGGAGTTGGCGGAGGTATAGAGGGAGAAAAGTTCGTCTTCCCTCTTTCTTGTGTAGTAAGATGGTGTAGTAGAGGGGTCCAAAAAAGTCTGAAGGGGCTGAGGTCCCTGGGCATCGACGGGCGGCAGTGGTCACACCAAATGAGGCCAGGTCATACGTCCAAAGTCCAGCAGCTGTGAGCAGGGAAGCCAGATGACAAAAAGCCCCGTAGGCGTAAGGGCAAACAGAGGGCAAACAGAGGAGAGGCAGCATCACAGGGAAAGGCCAAGTCAGGTGGGACGGAAGAGGGGGGGGGCGTCCAAAGGGCCGTGGAAGCAGCAACAAGGTCAGCTGCCTGATCTCATACAGCGCCATACCAAGCTGACCACCCCCTCTCTAGTATAGGCCAACGCAGTCCAAAAATCCCAAAAGCGGGGGCAAAAGATGTCAGGGAATGCCAGGAACGCCGAGCAACGTAAACCACCAAAGCAGAGAGAGGGGGAGTGCCTAAGGAGGCCGCGGCAGTGGTAAACAGGCCGGCTGCCTGGCCTTGTCCAGCGCCGTTCCAAATCACCCACCTCCTCTTTGATAGTAATAGTATTCCAGTAGTCCGATAGGCTCCAGGGCTCCTCCCAGTCAGAAAGAAAAACAAGACTAGGTCCATGAAACGCCGGGAGCGGCGCCTTCAGTGCGGTGGCGCCATTTCCGTCATTTTTGCCACCGAGTGTTGTAAAAGTTCTTCCGGGAGGACGCGTGGACCAGAGGCTGTCCGACAGCGGCGACCCTCCAGAATACCACCTGTTCAGATCCCTTGGATTGCGGTCAGCTGCTGGGACCCCTTCCTGCATGGCTCCAAGCTGAGTTGCCGGTTTTCTCTGGCGTTTTTTGCTCAGCCAGACCAGAGTGAAGAAAGCTGGCGGCCATCCTGCCTCGCACATGCACAGAACAGTCGCAAGTCACTTTTTTTCAGTGCTGTTGATTCTACAGTGACCTGTAGATTCATTTATTTGGTTGGTACCACGAAGAAGAAATCTTAGCGCAGCCAAAGGCCACGTCCACAGACAGCGCTTAAAGTCACAGGCATCATGACATCATTGAGCAGAAATTGTAGATTACTGGATCATTTTTCACATGACGATGTTTTGATGCTGTTTCTGCTGCTGTGTTTGGATCTCCTGCCCCCAACTGAAACCCCACCCCTTTTCCTAGGACAGTGTTGCTCAACCTTGGCAATTTTAAGATGTGTAGATTTCAATTCCCAGAATTCCCCAATTAGCTATGCTGGCTGGGGAATTCTGGGAGTTGAAGTCCACATGTCTTAAAATTGCCAAGGTTGAGCAACACTGCCTTAGGACTTCAAGGCCCCATGGGGTCACCATTAATCTTACTGTCGCCCCCAACTACCTTATGAAATAGGCCAGCCTACATCGAAAGGGATAGGTTCCATGACCCACCAGGAAGCTCCCCGAATGAGTAGAGACTCGAATTTGGCTCTCCCATTCAGACACCACCGTGCCACACATGTTCATGTTTTCATATCAGGCTCCATGATTAGAAGACTGAAGGCTAAAACATACGAAGAACGGTTGCAGGAATTGGCCATGTCTAGTTTAATGGAAAAAAGGACTTGTGGTGACATGATAGCAGTCTTCCAATATTTGAGGGGCTGCCCCAAAGAAGAGAGGGTCAAAAAAGCAGAAAGCAGGACAAGAAACAACAGATGGAAAGTAATCGAGGAAAGAAGCAACCTAGAACTAAGGAGAAATTTCCTGACAGTGAGGACAATTAACCAGTGTAACTACTTGCCTCCAGAAGTTGTGGGTGTTCCATCACTGGAAGCTTTTAAGAAGAGATTAGACAATCATTTGTCTCAAATAGTCTAGAGTTCCCCATTTGAGCAGGTTTTGGACTAGAAGACCTCCCAGGTCACTTCTAACTCTGTTATTCTATTTGGCAGCCCTTTGGATTCAGAAGAAAGGTACCCAATGTGAGGTCCTTGGTGCTTTCTGAGCTTAGTTGTTTTGTTGCAGAAATTTAATTACCCAACTAAGTAACAACATCATCAGTACTAGAAGGGAGCAGAGTTTGCTCTCTATTTAAATATAAGTGGCTGGTGGAGTTTAGGTATTCTTGGTGGTTCCTTGATTAAGCTGTTTACTGTTACTGTTTGTCTGAAATGGTAGTTCCTTGATTAGGATATGTTTTACTGCTTGATTGTTAGTCTAGTGTTAATCTTGGAGTTAATCTTTGCTTATCTGGGTGTTGATTGCTGGTGAGGAGGTGTTTTGGTCTCTTTGTGTTCATTTTACCTTTTCCGTTCTCTCTTGAATGGTACTTTTGCATGGTTTTGAATGATGTTGTTTATCTCTGCGTGCCTGTTGATGGCTGATAAACAGTTCAACCTTGAGCTACAAAGATTCTCTTCTGTTAGTTAAGATATCCACATTAGATACAGGCAGACTTCTTAGATTAAATCTCAGAAGAAGAATGCAAAACAACAACACCCAGCGGCTCAAGAGAGCTTGCATTCTTTTTCTGAGATGTGCCCTAATCAATTAAAAATGTTTCTGATTTAAAAATCTACATACCTTGAAAAGTTTTTTAGAAACCAGAAACTCTAATTTATTTCTCACCTCTGAGGCTGATAGATTACTTTTTCCACTTTGCTGGTTTTGGAAAATGAATATAGCATCGGTTTTGGATGCTTGTCCATTCTTGCTAGCATCACTCTGTTGCACCGGCATGTAATTTGAACTTTTGAAATTGCAGAAAATTAATTGGGGATTGATGAGGTTGTGTGGAACTGAGATGGAGGGTGGGGGCAGGGGGAGGGAGGCGCTGTTGCTTTGCACTTTGAAATCTAATGAGCTTGAAAGTGGAGGTTCCTGTTTTATTGATTTATTTAATTTATTAGTACTTTTATCCCATCTTTGTAACTATAAGTAATTCAAGGCAGTGAGTATACCTCTGGTAAACCCCTTCCTCCTCTTATTTTCTCCACAACAACAACCCTGTGAGATGGGTGGGGTTCAGAGAGTGACTGGCCCAAAGTCACCCAGTCACTTTCATGTCTAAAGTAGGACTAGAACTCACCATCCCCTAGTGATTAGCCCAAAGTCATCCAGCCAACTTTTTTGCTTAAAGCAGGATTAGAATTCACCATCTCCCAGTGATTGACCCAAAGATTACTTAGCTGCTGGTCATGCTAAAGGTGAGACTAGAACTCAGAGTCTCATGGTTTCTAGGCCAACCCCTTAATCAGCTCTCCAGTTCTTGAGATGGGTCACCCTTGAGTGTCCCAGGCAAAACCAGTTGAGATCACGCAAGCCAAATATGCACTTTTCTTGTGCCTGGAGGTGAGGGTTACTTTTATGGGGGGCGGAATTGGACAGGGGTGTCATGAGGGCTTAGCGGCCATTTTTAAGCTTGCTCTAGTTTTGCTACCCCAAAGGGGACAGTTTAAGCCCCACCTACTATGGAAGTCTATTCTGGGGGCTGCCAAAAAGATCCTGGCTTGTATGGTTTGTCCAACTGTGATTTATTGATTAAATGTTTCATTT